TTCTTCTTGGTTTTCTCTGATGCACTAACTCTGCAGCAGCACTTCTTCGTCGTCTCGTCTGATGCACTCACTCAACCAAGCGTTCTAACCAACCTCGCCCCTCCCCACCCCACAACCATTCGAATTTCTGTAGGCGGGAATTCTTTGTAATGATATTCCAATGAGCCGCTTTGTGATATCATAAAGCCTGGAAAACAAACGCTGTAGTCCAAACGAGCCGTTCGTTGTAGTTCTTGAAAAGGGATTTTTAAAAAACGAAATATCTCCTTTTGGAGTGGACTTTGAGATTTGTAACACTACACACTGACTAAAATTTAAAAAGTGAAAAAGCATAATAGGACCCCTTTAAAGTAATATATATGGAAATGTAAGAAGCCTAAAGCTACAAGGTTTAGATCATAGTTCAAGTGTTCTGTTCAAAGTTACAGAATTATTGTGAGTTATTAGTGACCCCTTGCCCTGAGTTTTTACTGACACATACCGTAAAACAAAGATCTGTTGTTAGTTATCACAAAGAATGACTTGCTTTGTGAGGCAGATGTTTCATTTAAAAAGAAGATTGTTGTACAGCCATTGTTAGATAATCACATGTGCATTTGCAGAGCAAGTCTTTTTTTCAACGTGGATTGTTTGATTTAATGATACAATTTTTGTTTTTATTTTGATGTCACCTTTGCCCAGGTGGTGATGCGCCCCTTCTTGATGGCATCACAGCAGATGGACAAGATGGTGTCTCTTTTGTTCACCCCATGGGAAAGATATTTCTACAACCACTTGCAGGTCAGCTTTTATCTAATCCAGGTTGTCTATAATGGTATACAGTTGCGCTCTTAAATTTACACACCCCTTACATCTGTAAGACGTTTAGCATTTTTAAGAGCGAGATAACATCTTAAATAAGAAATGATAGTGTCTTAAAAAATAAGATAATAAAAAACTCAAATTCAAAAGCTTGTTAAGTTCTTAATAAAATATTTTTTTAATTACACAAATCCAGAAACAGTCACTAAATCTAGAAAAAAAAAATCTGAAATAAATCCACCAATTGTTTCAGTATTTTTCAATACACCCAATATGCACTAGAACTGATTGTTTTTCTTGTAGAAGTTGGCTGTATTGAGAAAACAGGCCATGCACACATCCACACTGCTTCAGTAATAAACATGAAATTGAGAAAATTTAACTTGTGGTAGATAATAGAAGACCTTATGTGACTTATTGAAGTTGGCGCCACTGTTTATTACTGCAAGTGTCTTTTGAGTTAAAAGGCCAGAATTCAGACTGAATGTCGCTTGTGAGGCCAAGCACAACTTTTTGATATTACTTCATGATAACTTTCATTATTAATTAATTAACAAACATTATAAAATGCTTAACAGATTAGTTTAAAAAAAGGTTCAGGGCAACTAGTTGCTAGTTAATTTACCAATTATTAATGCTATTATAAACTATTACCTTTTATCTTTAATTATGAACTGTATTTTTAAGTAGACGTTGGCAATAATATTTATGTTTTATATTAAATTTAATATTTTAAACTGTCAATTTTTAATTTACAGCCGGACGTTTATTTTGGCAACTGTGTATTAACATATACAGTAGATGGTTTCAAGGCAAAAACACATAAAACTTTTTTTTAATAGGGGCTTTAAACTCCTGATAATTTAGATGAATAGTTCCCTTTCAGTCGGTCACTCTCGACGTCACGTCGGATGACCGACGAATTGGGATCTCGCTTAGAGAGACCAATCTACTTCGAGTGTAAACTAAACGAGCCAATGCACATTGGCATGCGATTATTGCATCCAGCTGCCGCTGATCACAGCGTGAGTATAAGTAGGCAGCAGATGCAGCCCATATTCAGCTTTTCGCTTCGGAGCAGAGCGGTCTCATCGTTCTGCTCCTGATCTTCTGCTTCAGTGAAACTACGAGTTCGATTACAAGCACGCTCTTAGGAAGCTCTCGTTCTGGTGGTACGGCGCTTCAGCGGCGGTGGTTTGGTGCAGCTAGGGGGTTACACGGGTCTCCTCGGTGGAGTGGTCGGTTGCGATGCAGTTGTGTCCTAATACCGCCTCCAACTGGCAGGGAGAACCGTGCCTCCCCTCCCGGGTCTGTAGGTACTCGACTGGCCAGCGATGCTTATACGACCTGTGGAGAAGCTGCCTCTGCCTTACACGCTACGGCGTGATTGCAAGTTCACCAGGCCAAGGCACTGAGGGACTTGCACAAGGGTGGTCACGACCCGGAAGTTCTCAGATAACTCTGCACCTCGACGGACCTCGCGCTACGAGCGACGAAGGTTACGGCGCGGTCTCTGGGTCGTGCGATGTCCACTATGGTGGTCCAGGAGCGCCATTTCTGGCTGTTTCTGGCCGACATGCGCGAGACGGACAAGACACGATTCTTGAATGCCCCCCTGTCCCAGACCGGCCTTTTCGGCGACACGGTGGAGAACTTTGCCCAGCAGTTCTCCGCTGCCCAAAAGCAGACCGAGGCCATCAGGTACATCCTGCCTCGGCGTGCAGCTGCTGCCGTCGCCGAGGGCGGCCCCCTGCCGCCGCCCCTGCTCTCGCGGCCTCCAGCAAAGCAGCGCCGTGGAGCCGGTCGCAGGGCAGCCACCCCGCCCGTCCAGGCCCCGCCAAACCTG